AATTAATTAGGGCATCTTTCGGAAACTTCACACCCAGGAGGCTTCAGGGAGGCCTGCTAGGCCCAAAGTGGGGCATGGGGAGATGTTGCATGCGCATGCGCGGGGCAGGGGAGCACGCGCCAGGGGGTGGCACATGCATGCATGGGGTGTGTGTCATGTACATATTGTATTATGGGTGTGGGCATGCGCGTATGCGCTGTCATGCACACATGCGCTTTCAGCACACAAGGACAAAGACGTTAGCCATCACTGGCCTATGGCATACAGGATGCTTCCCAAATTGTAGGGTCGAGTAGGCACTCATTTCTGTTTCTGTAGCACTGTAGCACTGAATACAAATTGCCACTACATGATTTCTTGCAAGGAGAAACTGCCTCCCTTCTGCTCTTCAGGGTTCATCTTTTTGCATTAGTTTTAGCAATGTCTGTTTTCTTTCCTCTGAAGGCTTAGAGTCTGATTTTTTTTCCAGCAAAGATCTTAAAGTTGTTTCTAAGTTCTGATGTTACCAACTATATTTTATGCGTCTTACTTCTACTTCTACTAGAAGTAGTCTTACTTCTACTATATTTTATGTGTCTTAATAAAAGGTGTCTTACCTTTTATTAAGTAGATTTGTTACTTTGTTTAGTTCTCTTCCTAAAGACGGGTTCTTCATTATAGTTCCTACTGTAGTATCTCCTTCACTTGATCTGGTCAAGTTCTTATTTTATCTCATGAGATACTCTAATATTTATTAAAATGCCAGGACAAAAATGCATTCACTGCAAATAAAGGAATGATGTTCCTTTAAGGCAGGAGTAGACAAATTGAAATATGTCCAAACACTGCAGGTCAAAACTGCAGAATTCTATGCACTGATCTTCACTTCTACTGTAATTCTTATGGTATCACATATAGCAAGGTTACTTTTTTCTTCCTTTTAAACTCTCAAGTTAATCCACTACACTTTCTGAAACTGGGAGCATGGGAGTTGAAAGGGAACTCTTCCTATCTTCTATTAGCTTCCTCTGTTTGTTTGCTTAATCACTTGTGCTTCTTGGAAGCTATTAATTTATATTCTTCTTATAAGATTGCAGTAGCCTCTGTTTAATGTATTGTTTTGCTATTAGTTGAAATGGGCTGTTCAAGAGTATGATGAATTCTCCCTGGTACCAAGTTTTATTTTCTTTTTTAAATAGTGATATATGCAGGGTGTTCCTTATTTTTAATTAATTAATTTTAATTAGGACGAGCCCTAATTATTTCCTCCAAAACTATGAACCTGGTGACTACTTTTTTAAATATATGCTTTATCAATATGAGTAAAATACAAAAGAGAGAGAGAGAGAGAGAGAAACATATTAATAACAAAAAGAATTAATTTTTTGTATTTGTGTGTGTAAATACAATGCCCCGAATGTCAAATAAATCTGGGGACTATTGATTCAAGCCACAAGGACATAAAAATATCCCTCCTGGATCAGATGATATATTCACTCAGTTCAACATTGGTCAACTGAATCCATCTGGGCTGCTCACAAGCAGAGACTGGAGCATAATATTGCTTCTCAGCAGCCAGTGTCTGAAGCAGGCAGCTTGTGATTCAAAAGATGGCAAAACAGCCATTAATATTAGTAGCTAGGTTGTCCATGAACCTACTCTGTTCTCTTTTAAAAGCATCCAAGTTGACTGCCATCACCATAACTGCTGGTATATACTGAAAAGATTCCCAGGAGGTGACAGGCGGGTGGACTCTGGCGGTGATTAATGCTTCTCTACAGGAAGGGGCAGTACCCCAGCACTTTAAGGAGGCTGTGGTCCGCCCTCTTCTTAAGAAGACATTCCTGGACTCCACCCAGTTGGATAATTTCCATTTTTGGTGAAGGTTGTTGAGAAGGTGGTCATGTGGCAGCTCCAGAGTTTTCTGGATGAAACAGATTATCTCGACCCCTACCAGTCAGAATTCAGGCCTGGATTTGGGACAGAAATGGCATTGGTCACACTTTTGGATGATCTCTAGCAAGAGTAGAATGGGGGTAGTGCATCCATCCTTGCTCTACTTGACCTCTCAGCGACTTTCGATACCATAGACCATCGTATTCTCCTGGGGTGGCTTTGGGAGGTGGGAGTGGGAGGCCTTGTGCTATCCTGGTTCACTTCCTTCCTCTGCAGCCGCTCTCTGTCAGTATTGATAGGAGGGGAGAGATCCAGCCCTTGCCTACTGCTTTACGGGGTTCTGCAGGGCTCGGTACTCTCTCCGCTCCTGTTTACTTTATTTATTTATTTATTCCCATCCTGCTTACAATCTTTTTGGACTGTTGCCTTCTGGCAGAAGATACAGAACAATTAAAACTCAGACCACACGTTTTCTGAATAGTTTTTATCCCAGAGCTATAATTGCACTCAACAATGAACTAAAGGGCCACAATCAGTGAGCTGTTGGACAGCATTACCTGGTCTGTTATGTGAATATTTGGGGTGGGGAATTTGTGGTGGGTGGGTGGGTGGGGGTATTTGGGAATTGTTATGTGTGCTGGACCTGGTCTTTGGGTGTTAAGTGAATTTTGTTGTATGGGTATACTGTGTATACATGTACAATGACAATAAAGTTGTTGTTGTTATTATTATTATCTTTATTCATTAAATATGAAACTCAGTCAACTGAACATTCAAAAATGCATCACAAATACCATTGACTTTTTCCACTTTATGTTCCCATGATTTTTTGGTTACAGGTAAGCCATATTTTTTACATAATGACCAATGGATTAATTTAGCAACTCGGTCATGTCTAGCTTTGTAATCAGTTTGTACGATTTTGCTGTATTCACATATTAAATGTGAAACAGTTTTGACTTTGTTGTTGCAAAGTTGGCAGTTTGGATTGTCGGTGGATTTTTGTATCTTTGCTTTCATGGAATTAGTTTGTAGTGCTTGGTCTTGAGCAGCGAGTATTAAACCTTCCATTTCTTACTTGATGGTTCCCAAGTTAATAATAATAATAATAAGATGATGATGATGATGATGATGATGATGATGATGATGATGATTATATGAAAGGGTGAGATCATCCGTCACCATGGACTGAAGTATCACCAATATGATGATGATACTCAGCTGTAGGTCTCAGCCCGTGGTGAGTCAAGTGATGCCGTGTCCTCCCCCTCACAGTGCCTAGAGGGTGTTAGGGGCTGGATGGGGAGCAATGGGTTGAAACTAAACCCTTGCAAGGGTTTGGGGTTCGTTGGATCAAGGAGAACTGCCACCTTTGGTCTTGGATGAGGTGGCACTATCCCAAACAGACCCTGTGGGGTTTTCCTGGACTCACGACTCCTGCTTGAAGAGCAGGTGATGGTTGTGGCTAGGAGGGCCTTTGTGCAACTGTGGGTTGTGCACCAGTTATGCCCTTTCCTGGACCAACAGTCCCTATTTACAGTCACTCAAGCCCTAGTCTTGACTATTGCAATGCGCTCTACATGGGGCTGCTCTTGAAGAGCATCCGGAAGCTCCAGTTGGTGCAAAATGCAGCTGCCCACATGGTTTTGTGCAGATTCCAGTTTGCACATGTATCACCATTGATTGGTGACTGGCTTTAAATTGACAACCATTGCATTGGTTGCCAATTTGCTTTTGGGTGCAATTCAAGGTGCTGGTTGTCAATTTAAAGCCCTTCATGGCTGGGGACCAGGTTATCTGAGGGACCATCTCTTGCCGGTCACACCTACCCAACCCATCAAAGCTGGGAGGCAGGGAATGTTGCTGGTTCCATCCCTGAGGGAGATACACTTGGTGGGACCCAGAAGAAGGGCCTTCTCCGTGGTAGCTGCGTCTCTCTGGAACATCATTCCCCCAGAGATTAGAATGGCACCCACTCTAATGTTCTTCAGGAAGGCGCTGAAGACCTGGTTCTGCCAGCGGGCCTGGGGAACCCAGAGCGGGATGGAGCCCATTAAATGGCTTGTGTGATCTGCTGTCACTGGGGCAGTGGGTTGGAGGTGGGGGGGATTTTGTTATATTGTACTATATTAATTTGTTTGATTCTTTGTGTTAGTGTTTATTGTTTTAAATGTGGTTTTATATTCTGTAAACTGCCTTCAGTCGCCATGGGCAAATAGGGGGCAATATAAATTCAATTAATATCAATAGTAGTAGTAGTAGTAGTAGTAGTAGTAGTAGTAGTAGTATAATAATAATAATAATAATAATAATAATAATAATAATAATAATAATAATAATAATAATAATAATAATCATTCCATTGGTCCTGGACCTTCCTATAGTTAGTTCAGTGGAGGACTCTGAATTATTTCATAGAGGGAGAAAAACTTCCCCCTGTTCATTTATTCATCCCTTGTATGATTTTGCATTTTTCTATCTCCTTTCCCCTTTCTCTTCTTTGTACCATGCTAAGGAACCCTAATAGCTTAAGTCCTTTCTTATAGGAAGGGCTACTTTAGCATTCTAATCCTTCGGGTTCCTCTTCTTGTGCCTTTTCTTGCTTAGTCAAACATTCCCTACCTCTCACCCACCCTCGTATGTTTAAGAGCTTTGGTCAGCTAGATCAGCATGTGATTGCACTTACAAATAGCTCACTTGTTTTAGGATAATTTTAGTTTCAAAGATAAAGCAGGGTCAGCTTTACCTAAGCATCTCAAGATATAACAGAAAGGCACATTGGTAAGAAGTTGGTGGACATGTCCACCTCATGTCAAATTATGGCTCTGGGGATTGCATTTTTAAAAATGGTTGCAATCTACACTGTCTGACACAGAGTTACTATGTTTGTTACTCTGCAAGATATTTATCCTTTGAAAGTTGTCATTTGTCTTAAAGCCCATCTGTCAACTAAGCAGAACACAGCAGCTATTCACTAGTTCACTAGTTGCTTATTTGCTCTGTTCCCTTTTGTTTTATTTTGTAGATCAAAACAGGCCAGTCTTTTGATATTATTTCTAAGATCTGCAAACTACTGGTCAATAGGATCAAGCTATTCTCTTATAATCTTTTTGTTTTTCCCTTACCTGTCAAGTTCTTCAGCCCAAGCCGCCTCAGTCCAAAACTCCCATCTTTTTTGTAATTGAGGAAGATGGCCAGTGCAGAGCGATCTTCATACAGTTTTGTTCCACGAATGATCCGCAGATTTTCCAAAGGAAGGTATTCAAATTGATTCAGCGCTACCAAGACGTAGCCAGTCACTTCTCTGATAGACTGCAAAAGACAGAGATTTGATTGTATACTAAAGTATTCCCAAATCACTTATCATTTCCAAGGTTTCCCATACAATATACACAAATCACTTATTTATTCTCATTTAAAAGTGGGTGAAATTTATAATTTCACAAGTGCTCATAAAGTCAGCATTCACTTCATATTTAAAAGCAAGGAAGAAATGCAATTTCAGAAAAGGCTGTGACTCACATTGTCTCCCATGTACAGTACTTCAGATGACAGGAGAACACAAAGCAAGCATCCAAATCAAAGGTAGATGTTTTTAATAAATAATTTTGTATTGCTCACATAATTATATATGACATTACTTTGCACTTTGGTACCACTTCAAGGAACATCTGCAGAATAATTTCAAGTACAGACACAACATGCATGAATAATGCACATAGCATTCATGTGCATCCATATTTTCAGATCTTTATTCCAAAATAAAAAGGTAAGACATTTTTGCTCAAGGCACAGTTAAACTGCTCAGTTCTTCACTATTAACTCTATGCCCCCATATTTGCTTCCAAAGATGGTAAACAATGTTATAGAGTGGGGGCTATAAAATAAATTTTGTAAAACCTCTTCCCCTTGAATAAAATTGTTTGATCATACTCTAATACAGGGGTATCAAATTGGCAGCCTACAGACTGGATGCATCACACACAGGCCACACCCACCCCGGCTCCGCAAAGGCAAAAAAGGTCTTGATACGTCTCAATACACCACATGACGCAATCGGGTTTGACACCCATGCTCTAATAGAACCCTGTCACAATGTGCTCTGACACACTGTATTTTTCGGAGTATAAGATGCACCAGAGTATAAGACGCACCTTAGTTTTTGGGGAGGAAAATAGGAAAAAAAAAATCTGCCTACCAGGTATTCATCTGGCTAGTGTCCTTAGTCTGGTCAGCTTCACCACAGTAGTTCACTGGTTTGAAGCGCACGCACCTGGTTGGGGCTGAAATACAGCTTCTAAAGCACAGCTGATCATCGGAGGGAGCAGCAATGAAAACAGCAGGCGAAGCACGGAATATTGCTTCACTTGCAAGCACCTTGTTGAGGCTAAAAAACAGCTTCAAAAGTTCAGCTGATCATTGGAGGGAGCTCCAGTGACTACAACAGGTGAAGCGCAGAAGGGGTAAGAGAAGGCAGGAGCTGTTCCAGAGAGCCATTTTGGCCATTGCACATCGTGTTTTCAGCCTCCAAATGTATCGCGTTTTCAGGCAGTGATCAGTGGCAATGTGCTTTGGCCATCCTCGCAGCCTAGAAGAGCTCTAAAACGGAGCATTTGGAGGCCGAAAACGCGATGCACAGTGCCCAAAATGGCTACGCCATTGTCAGTGTCTATCTGCAGCAAGGAAGAGGACACATGGAGGCCGAAGGATGGGGGCTGGTGGGTAGGTGGGGCTACATTCAAAGTATAAGATACAAATTTTCAGCCTCTTTTAGGGGGAGGGTGAAATGCATCGTATCATCCAAAAAATACGGTACTTATTTCTTGGGGTGAGGAGGGAAAAAGTCTTACACAATTTCATTATTGGTTTGGCAGGAGTTTTCTTCTCTAACCAAAAGTAGCTTATGGAGGCCTGTTCCCAGAAGCCCCTTTGCAGGAGTCCAGAACAGCAACCTCTGTTCTGTGACAATCACCTTCAATGAGGTGAATCTGCCCACATCATAACTAGGCCTAGTGCCTGACCACAAGGTTGGTGAATCTGGTGCAGGTGCATTAGTAGGCTAGCAGAGATAATGTGGAACCCATCTTGGCACAAGAAAGTTTTTACCCAGGCATCTTCTGGCTCAGACCTCAGGCAGTAAGAGCTATGAGCATGCTAATGGATACTAAGGGCATCCCTAGATTCTTTCAACTAATGGCAGTGATGGAAAACTAGTAGATTACAGCATAGTGCCAAGCATCCTTGGGGTACCCAATTGTATACTCATTTGCCTCAATTGCAGATTTAAAAAGTGATCAATCTAGGGAAAACAACTAGGATGCTAACTTAGAACCAGGAAGTAGAGAAATCAATATTCTGCTTTCTCTCTCACACACACATGCTCACATACAGATATTGCTTTTGGGAAAGGAGGAAAAAAGAGTTTTCCCAGAAAAAAAGCTTCAATTTTTTGTCCTAGAGTCCAGAGCTGCAACACAAGTTGCAACTGGTAGAGGTTGCACCAGGAGCCCAGAGCTCCAACACAGTTTGCAACTGATAGAGGTTGTGCCATGGCAGACTGACACACTACCTTCATTTGCAGCGAAAGACATATTTTCCTGCTGGCCAAATATGTCAGAGATGCTGCTACTGTGCTTTCATGCACCTGCCTGCTCCACAGAGAAAATCCAATAGATATAGACTTCACCTTGGCCATTCTGCTGTCTCCCCTGCACATTATTGCTGGATGCAGAGTGAGAAAAGATGGGCTATCAGCAAATGCAGCTGGAAGGGGGGCAAGCAGGGCCGGATTTAGATGAAAAGAGGCCCTAGGCTATTCCACTTATGAGGCCCTTTCACCAGTGGTGGGATTCAATTCTTTTAACAACAGGACTGTGGGCGTGGCTTAGTTGGGGTGTGGCTTGGCAATCATGTGACTGGGTGGGCGTGGCTAGCTGGTCATGTGACTGTGTAGGCGTGGGTAGCTCGTCACGTGACCGGGTGGGCGTGGCTATGTGCATAGACTTTTTTCAGAGGGCTGAAAAAAGTCATTTCTGACTGGGCCTCGCACTTTTGACCGGTCCTCACACTTATGACCATCCTCACATATATGGCCGTGCAGCTTTCTTAACAACCATGTCACTCATTTCACAACTGCTTCTCTTCACCATGGTAACAAGATAGGGCAAAAACATAAAATGTGAGGACAGTCGTAAGTTCGAGGACTGGTCAAAAGTGTGAGGACCAGTCAAAAATAACTTTTTCAGCCCTCTGAGTAGTCCATATGCACAAAAGGACTAACCAGAGGGCTGAAAAAAGTCATTTCTGACAGGTCCTCGCACTTTTGACCGGTCTTCGCACTTATGACTGGTCATCATTTATGCCCATTGTAGCATTCTTAACAACCATGTCACTCATTTCACAACTGCTTCTCTTCACCATGGTAACAAGATAGGGCAAAAACATAAAATGTGAGGACAGTCGTAAGTTCGAGGACTGGTCAAAAGTGCGAGGACCAGTCAGAAATAACTTTTTCAGCCCTCTGAGTAGTCCATATGCATAAAAGGATACAGCATTAGAGAGGAATGAAGGAAGGGAAAGGAAATTAGAGTAGGAGGGAGGGTAAGAGAGGGAGGAAGGGAGGAGGAGAAGGAGAAAGGAAGAGGAAGTAGGGAGGAGAAGAAGAGGGGGAGGAAGAGAAAGTAAGAAGGAAAGAAAAGAGAGAGGTGGTAGGTTTGAGGAGAAAGATTGCTGTACAATAAAAAAGATGAAAGGGAAGAAAGCCAACCCCAAACAAATATAAAGATATTAAGATAAAGAATGAATTGTTAAACTTTAAAGAATAAAAGAGAACAAATATGAATAAATAGCAATAATTAGAAACACACATACAAACATACAATGTATTTTCTTTGAACAGAGTATTTGGCCGGTTCATAAATTTAAACAGTGTTTAGTCATTTCAATTAAATTTACAATTTCTATATTTCCTTTTTGCCATATTTATTCCTCATCTATTTTTTTAAAAAACCAATATTACCCTTCATCCTCATCTCTAATCTTAATCAAATTCAATTTTTCCCTTCTATTCTATATTACACCCCTTCCCATTGTCATCTATTTTTATATCCACCCTCACATTGGTTAATTATGTAATATTACAGTTGTTTAATATGAATTCAACATTTTAATATAAATCAATTAGTTATATAACTACCTTTTTTGTATATTAATCAATATGAACATGAATATTCCAATTATTTCCATGCAATCCAATTTCTTACAAATCAATTAATTATATTTACCAATAATAATAAACCAAATAATTTCCCCCATATATTCCTCCAAACCACAACTTAACCATTTCTGCTTTCAACACAATATACAATTAATAGTATCTCAATTATTACAATTCCCTAGTTAAATAGAGCTTTTTTTCTTTTGTGTTTTAAAATCTCCTCTTTTTCCCTAAATTTCATGTTGTTTGCACCTACCTTTTTTGGTGAGGAAAAAGAAATCTGCCTGCCTAATTTTCAAACGTGCAAAGCCAACAGCCTGCTTTACTTTCTCTTTCATTTTTCAGTATAACTAGGGGGGAAAAATCTGCACTCTTTCCAAGCAAGCAGCAGAGCTCTGAGCAAAACAGCTGAGAGCAAATCAGCTGGGGGTCGGGAGCCGATCTAAGCAAGGGCTAATTAGCCTATGCTGAAGCTCCGTGGGCCAATAAAATTACAAAAAAAACACCGAACCCTTTGTTAAATTGCTGGCTCCCCCGCCCCTCGCCCACCACTATTTATTGGCAATAAATAGTGATGCAGAGGGGCGGGGCAAGCCAGCAATTTAACAAAGGGTTCGGCTGCACCACTGGCTCTAGGGCGGCCCTTTGAAGCCCCACGGCAAGAATTTGAAGTTTTTTTTTTCCTCTAGCCATCAGCTGGGACTGCGGAGGCAGCAATAGATGGGGAGTGGGCGGGTTAAGCGAACGGCCGGCGATCCAACAGAGCAGAGAGTGAGGGTGAGTGAAGGCGTGGAAACTGCTTTCTCCATCCTGCTCTCTTGCGTCCGGAGCCGGTGGGGAAGCACGTGGCAGCCCACGTGGATCCCAGGCAGCGGAACTCAGGCTAGGGAGGGGGTGGGCAATTGTGGCTCTTTTACAACCTGTGGCCTTCAACTCCCAGAATTCCTGAGACAGCCAAGCTGTAAAAGAGCCACAATTGCCTACCCCTGGCTACGGTAGGCTGGCGCCGCGCGGGTGGGAGGCGAGGGGCGGGCGAGCCAGCAATTTAACAAACGGTTTGGGGGCCAATAAATTACAAAAAAACACCGAACCGTTT